TGGTATAAACTGCTGCCAGTCTCAGTCTTCAGAAGCTTGTTGTTTCATGTGGCTCAGGTGTTTGTTATCACCTTGAATAGTACCCAAAATTCCAATCCTTATTTGGGTCAGAAGAAAGGTAACTCCCTACGGAGGGAGCTTCGAACTGTTGGTTTTCACTGCAAATTGTAAATCTCAATTAAAAGTTAAAGTCACCATAGTTCCACTGGACCACAGGACTACTGTCTCATTAGAGAAAGATGACATGGTTTAACGTGAGGGACTCCACACCTCTGGTGAGGGAAGAGGTTGAAAAGGAGAATGCTTCATGGTCGTCTCAGCTGATGTGGGAACTGAACACTCAATTTGGCCTTGGTCTACATTGCAAACCAGCCATCCAGCCAACTGAGCTAACCAATTCTCACCCGTTAAACAAACTAGTGTCACTATAAATGCCTGGAATTAACCAACAGTAAGCTGACAACCATTAACGTGCAGGATACTGGTGTGGGCTTTATGGATTAAACAGAGTTGATTATACAGGTTTCATCCACAGTGAATGCATCTGGGTAAGAAGCTCTATGACTCGAGTATTACTACTCCACAGGCTGGGACTAACAATTCAGAGAGTGCAAGTTCGAAACGCAACATCGCAGTTTGAAAATTTGAATTCACTTTCAATCCAGAAATGAAAAGTCAGCATTAATAAAAATGACCACGAGCTGTTAGATTGTCAAAGAATTTGCAAGCAGTGAGTACTGGTGATGGATTGCCAAATTCATTTAAGACGAATCTTGGCTTGCAATTTTCATGGAAAAAAAAGAGTTATGTCGTGGTAAAGAGAGACAGTTTGCCCAAGCTTTTCATTTGGCATCGATCAACACAAACACAAGAATGCCAAATTTCAAATGATCACAACAGTTTATAATACAGAAGGAAAGAGTGGCTATTGTTTGCCAGGTCAACTCCAATTGGCTGAGGCATTGTCACAGAGAAGCCAATGGGGAAGTATATGTTCCCTGACTTCCTGCGTAATTCAGAGAAGTCGCAATATATTAATGAGATAAATAGGTTCATACATTAAATAGAGTTATGTAATAAATAGGTGGGAAAAAAATAGATATATAGGCTGATCCTGGGTTACAAACAGTTTCCGCTCCTGACTACATTTATAAGTCGGTTCATACACAAGTGACAACTCTGTACAGGACAATATAAAATAGCTATTCTTAACTATGTGCAAATGTTCACATCAGATCCTTAAAATTAATATGGGATCACATCTGTAAGTCAGAGCATTTGTAAGTCAGAAGTTCATAAATCTAGGACTGCTTGTATATAATAAATAGACTTAAGTAATAAACAGATTTGTCTAATAAATATCACAAAACATTAAAGTAACAAATAGCACAATACATTGAAATAACAAACAGATTTATGTAGTTCAATCCCAATACATAACAGATTAAAATGCCAGAATCCCAAAAAACAAGAGACAGACCAGACACACTCAATTATCATGACTAGGAATCATTACCATCTGAGTGCACAGAGAACATCAATCAGTGATATTAAGTAAAATTACTGTCCAGTCCTACGTTGCCCCATTTTTGACGTGATAAGAGGATAAAAATAGTCTTTATCCAGGGCAGATATGAAGATGCCAGCTAGAAGCAGCACCCACAGTAGGCAGAAGTGCAAATGACTCAGGATTCTTGCCTCCAAATGCTACCCAGTGACCCCTGCAAGGAAATTGGGATGCTAGTTTAAAACAGGTTCGACCTCAGCAATAACATACCTCCCATTCCACAGTAAACTACCTCTAATGTGCAGGGTCACATGTGGAAAACGCCCTCTTAGGTGTTGGAGAATCACTTTCTAAGTATTCATTTTGCAACATGATTGTTCGTAGTCATAGAGTCATTCAGCACGGAAACAGACCCTTCGGTCCAACCAGTCCATGCTGAACATAATCCCAACTAAACTAGTCCCACATCCCTCCAAACCTTTCCTATTCATGTACTTATCCAACTGTCTCTTAAACGTTACAACTGTACCCACATCACACTTCCTCCGGAAGTTTATTCCACACACAAACCACCCTCTGTGTAAAAAATTTGCTCCTCAGGGAACTAAAGGGGTTGTGATAAAGCAAACAGGAGGGTAAACATTTGTCTTAAAAACATCAAACATCCTCATGGAAATAACTTCCTTGTGGTAGATCCTTCAAAGGATAGAGAGAAACTAGACCCAGTTCAAGCCAAACACTCACCTGTAAAGCAGAGAGAGCCACTGCCCCACAGAGGCAGAAGAGGGGGTAGATTGGAAATAAGAAACGCTCCTCTTTGTGAGGTTGAGTGAAGAATATCAGAATCCAGATATACATGGGTGAAAGGGTCAGCCAGTAGGGACGGCCAAGGTTGTGCACTGTAACAAGAAAAACAGTCAACGATCTGACAAAAACAAAATGGCACAATGTCAGACACAGCAACATGCAGGAAACCATTGACAGGTGAAAATGGTTTTCCCAGCATAAAGCTTTTTAAGGTAATTTCATGCAACAATCTTCCAGTTTTACACAAAGTTGCAGTCCTACCTCATTGTAAGACATAAGGCATACGCCCCTAGAGCAACCTTTTGCATAACTAGCTTTTTTAATAAGGTGGGAGAAAGTAACTGAAAAATACAATTCATCTGACATGCATTAATGCCAATCATAATGTTTTGTCCAATCTTTGCAAGGTGTTGCATTGATTTATTAACAGTTACACAGTGTGGATTCCAGGATTACATTGTACTTTTATAACGTACTCAATTTTATATTCTTTCCTAATTGGAATTTCTCTCAATTAGCATATAGTTATATATTTTGCTGAAATAATACTGCAGCAAGCAAGCAGTTAATCAATGGGGCAGACTCCATTGATACATTCAAATACAAGTTAGATAGATTTCTTTCAACAAATCACACTTTGGAATACAATATCAGAGTAATTTGAGACGTCAAATGTGGCAATTGTAGAATGACTGGGAGGAACAAGCGTCAATTGAGGCTTGCTCGATAACACTCTGGCCTCTGTGCTGCAAGGAGCCAGATTCAAGACCTATTCCAAGACTTCTGCAGAAAAAAACAATCAATGTTGACACTCAATTGCAATACTGAGAGAGTGCTGCATTGTCATTGCCATCTTTAGGATTAGACATTAACCATGACCCGCTTGCCCTCACAAGTGGACACTAAAGATCCCATCATCTGTATCAACCCTATTTCTCAATCTCCTTTATGTCCATATTGGTGTGGGGATTATGGAGGCCATGGAGTTCAAAGGGTGAGGGCTTGAGGGACTAACAGTCTTTAATACAACCTGGAAAAATTCCTAGAGAACCAAGCTGGGCCATCTATCCAGCCTGTCTCTGCATTCAAATACCTCTGTGGCTGCATTTGAACTGCTTCTGGGATTAGTGGCATTGACTCAATCTCTCTCCCCTCCCTGCTCCCATGGACAAAAATAAGGAAGCTTTCTGACTCAAGCTTCTTGCCTTGTTAATAAAATCTGGCTCATCATGCACATCTCCTGCTCTTTTATTCAACAAAGTTTCTCGTAAAATGGGCCGGAATGACCATTAGATGGCTCATTTCCAAAGCGATTTTAAGCACTTTTTTTAATTGATTCATGGAATGTGATGGTCTGTAATGGTGGGATTTGAACACATGTCCTAGAGCATTAGCCTGGGCCTCTGGATTATTAGTCCAGTGACAATACATCTCTGGCATCGTCTACCCCCTCTTGCTTATCAAGACAGGTTTATGGATCAGTAAAATGATATGGCTGGTGAACCTACAGAGTAAATCTAAGGGAAAGAACAGAGCACACAAGTATTGGAACTCAGTGCAATGTAGTTAACTTCAAGCTGACATTAAAAAGACAAGTTAATTATGAAATGATTCAAGCTGAAGCCACTCTACAGTTCGAGCTCATGACACAGATTGAAAAATAATTTCAACATTTTAACCTTAAACAGAAGGAAAACAAACAACCATCTAACAGTTGAGAGTGCTCTTGGATTTACATTGATGGATCTTGTTTACAGCATGTAAAGAGGTCACTTTGGAACAGAAAAATACACAAGTACCAATTTACTAAATGTCAGGAAGGTGAAGTTGGGTTTGAAAGGATGAAGCCAGGCATTATGCTGCACTTTACTGACAGAGTGTAGGCAATGTACCCATTAGCTTCTAATGCTGCTTAATATCAAAGCCCTCTTTAAGACCTCCAATTACGTGTGAAAGGATCGGAAGAAAATCACGACACTGTCAGAATCGGTTATTCTTTGGTAATCTCGAGGAAACTAGAACTCTTTGCACTGCAAGTAAAATTACTTGAATACTGCATACAATTTTCATCTCCTTATGTTAAGAGGGGTATACTTGCTTCAGAGTATAATCAGAGAAGGTTCTACTTGTTGATTCCTGAAATGAAGTATTTGTCTTATGAAGAAAAGCTGAGCAGGTTGGATGGAGAGGAAAAGAACGAAAATTGGAGTTATTGAGTTTCAGGAGATTCAATAAGTTGGATGATGAGAGGATGTTGCTTCCTTCTAGGTGAATCTGGAATTGGAGGCCTTGTTTTAGGATAAAGGTTCCCAACTAAGAAAAAGATGAAGAGGAATTTCTTCTCTCAGAAGGTTAGGAGTCTTTGGAATTCACTAACCTGAGACCTGCACCTTTAACATATTCAACAATGCTGTGCCAATTAGATGAGTTCAGTGTGTTCTTTTTTATCTGGAATGAATACATGTTGCTTCACCAAGAGCGTTTTGAATCTTTGGAATCCTCAACCCCAGACCTCGTGGGGATGTTCAGTCATTGAATACATTCAAGACAGAAATCGATTGACTTAAGGAAACAAGCAGGCAAGAAAGTAGATTGCATAGGATATGCAGGTAAGAAACAGGCCATTCATCCCAAGAATTTCATGCCAGTGGTTGTATTCCACTCAAGTCTCCTCTCATCTTTCTTCATTTAAATCTCCCAGTGTAATTTAATTATATGTTCTATTTCCTTCATCTCGTATATCTCATTCTCCTTTAAAAGTATCAATTATATTGATATCAACAATCAGTGAACTTAGGTAGAGGATTAGCCATGTTCATGAGAGGATATTTAGCCTACTCTTGCCCTAATGCCCATGTTCTTACATTTGCAGAGTTGTACGAACTATTTACAGCATTAATTCAGCAAATAGTTCCTTCATTTGCACGTTAAATTTACATTTGATATCACACACTGAATCAAAGCAAATCTATAGAACCCGATTTTGTGTAGACCCACAATGGGTGATATAACATGTCAGTATTTTGAAGTCAAGGAATGAAAAAAAGAAATATTTTCTGCAGTTAAATACAATGACTTGTCAACACTGAGAATTATTCATACATTTTCCACTCTCCACATTTAAAGATGACTTCTTCAGATTTTTTTTTGAGTAAGTGCATTTTCAATCATTTAAAGATTGCTTTCCTAAGCGGAATCTGTGAACCTATTCCAGATGGGATGTGCTAAAATAATTCAACTACAGAAGGGTATATATAAACCAATAGTGCTCTCTAGTGGCTTTCCCTTCTGGAAATCATATTTTTAAGTCCTTCTCTTTGTCTTGTTACGAACTGTATAAATAAAAGTCAACAAAGGCAGCAGGAATTTAAAGGAAGTAATCTCCATTTCAAATTGATTAGTAAACACCCTTAGCTTGGGTAATGGATAGATCAGATGTCCAGCATACATTTTAGCTTTTTATTGGAAATCTTAATTAAGCAGCATGCATCTTTGGTTGTTTGCAATAGGTACAGTACAGACCGTACTCAGACAGCTCATGCTGCAAGACCCAAAACAAAACATCCACTGTTAAACTGAGTCTGCAAGAGGACGGTATTTGCTGAATAATCCCAAGCGTGCACTAACAACAGATTTAAGATAATCAGTCAAACTTGTACTGTGCCTCATGTACGCATGCCAGAAGTGACATTCATTCATATGAAAGGACCCAATCACGGCAAACAAGAGAAATGTGTTCAATTCAATCCTTGTGCCTTCTTTGAATTTCCAACAACCTGGAAAGCCTATAGTTCTCCAAGTGAGCTTTCTTTACATGAAAGCTTTGACAATGAAACACAAATGTTTGTAGCACAGAAAGAGACTGGCTGGCTTGTTCACAGCTTGTGGCATCAGTAAGTACTACTTTAAAATGGGAGGGATAAGTATGGGCATCTGATATCCAGACCCGTTCCCTAATCTTATGTTCGCATATATACCTCCCAGCAAAGGGGACTATTAGCTAGCTGTAAAACCATGACTGTTTTCACCTCTCTCTCAGCAAGGGAAGCAATCAATTGTGGCACCTTAAATACTAGCTGCTCCAAACTAAATCATGACATTGTTCTTTACAGAATCATAGAAGTATTACAGTGTAGAACAAGGCCATTCAGCCCATCATTTTTTTCACCAGCTCTCCAAATGAGGCATTTTGCTTCGTCCCATTCTCCCACCTTCTCCATGTAACCTTGAACATTCTTCCTTTTCAAATAACCAATTCCCTTCTGAATGCCATGAATGAGCATGTTAATTTTTAGAGACTGTTAATTTTGACCAGTTGATATCAGTGCATTTGGTTTTTATTGTTTGCTGACTGTGCAAGCTTTTAAGCATGAAGAGGGTAGAAGCTAAATCCAGTTCTTTCCCTCTAGTCCTCCTTCTACACTCATCTAATTAGTAGATGAGCCCAAGAAACACTCCTCACCCACATTTAAACACCACTTCATCCTGTGAATTACTCAGACAAACAACAAGATCAACAGGTGGGAAGGTTTTATTCTTCTCGAGACAGCCCCAACAAAAAAAAACTGTTGGCGAAGTAACCATAAAGGTCATCATCCTTCCTGAAATCAGGAACAGAATGGGGAAACAAAATGAAAGACATTTCTGATGGATGATGGAGCAGTATTATTCATAGAAACACAGAAAATAGCAACAGGAGTAGGCCATTTGGCCCTTTGAGCCTGCTCTGCTATTCAATATGACTATGGCTGATCATCCAACTCAGTCCCCTGTTCCCACTGTCATCCCATGTCCTTTGATCCCTTTAGCCCTAAGAACTACATTTAACTCCTTCTTGAAAACAAAGTTTCACTTGAGTTTTCGTAAATACACAAGAAGCAGACTTCTTCAAACACATTATTGCCAAAAGGTAAAGGATTGTAAAGAATAACAGACAAAGTTCTGGCTGCAACCATGTTAGGGTTTGGCAACTTTGTGTCAACGCACCAGCTCCTCTGTACAGTTCATGTAGACAGACGAATTTCGCGCTGCCACTGGGCACATCAACTTGCCCGACAACTTGCTGGAACTGTTACCTAACTCCTACATGACCAAATCCACCCCAATCATTGGCCTGCACTTTATTCGCTACAACCTACCGCTGGCTGTGAGAGTATGTAACCGACAGTGATGGGCAAGACCTCAACTTGTTATCAACTTTTCCCACCAGCAATGCCAAATGGATGGAGGATGTAGATATTTTCAAGGCATCTCTGAAATTCCCACATTTTGTGAACCCCACCCCCAAATCCCTCAGTGACACCCCGTAGCCATTTGTGACATATTGTCATGCAGAGGTATTTTGCATCACATTGAATGAAGAGTGTTATTTAAGTTTTAATGAAGTTTACAGTAAAATATTAATTCAGAAGCCTTTAAAATTAGAGAATATACCAGCAATGCTAACAAGATGCAAGGCAACATTTAAGGCAATAACAAAGTGTTCCATAACTCGGAGCAAATTACTGCAGGTGCTGGAACCTGTACTGAAAGCAAAAAATGCTAGAAATCGCAACAGGTCAGGAAGCATCTGTAGAGAGAAAGCAAGCTAAAGTTTTGAGTCTAGATGTGACGTCAGAGCTCTGATGAAGAGTCATCGAGACTCAAAACATTAGCTTGCTTTCTCTCCATGGATGCTGCCTGATCTGCTGTGATCTCCAGCACTTTTTGTTCTCAGTAGTTCCATAACCATCCTGTCAAGTTATGTCATGTTTTATAAAGGTTTAAGAAATAACATTGATTTGAGCCTGATCAATTAAGACAGCCCAGTTCAGCTTCAGACAAATTAAGAAAAGAGAAGCACAGAGTATCACAATTTTCTTCGAGTGTCCTGAGATTGGTGAGTCCCTTACCATTAAACCTTTGCAGTAAGAACTCCATGAGGGCAGTTAGAGGCAGAGCACAGAGAGCCAAAGCAAAAGCCACGTTGAAATTCAAGAATCCATTGATGAAATAGAATGACCATGGCTCAGTACCTGGAAAGATGGTAAAATTGAGAATAAAGCTGTTAATAAAAGACACAGTTCTCACAACTCAATGGAACGAACTCCACAGTAAATCATACCATGACCTTCAATTTTGCATTTCTCTTTCACTGCTACATTGTCCACTTATAACACTTCAAAAGTACTTCATTGGCTATAAAGCATTCGCAGGGCATGAAAGTTCCAAATAAATGCAAGTCTTTCTTTACATGTATGATATTTACAGGCTAATTTTTGTCAAGAATCATGCCAATTAGCTACAGTTTCTACTTATATCTGTGCCAAGCTCATTCATCAAGAGGGAGCTTTACTTAATAAAGAAAGAAGTTGCATTTATATAATAAAAAAAGACTAGTGATGGGAAATAGAATTAGACTAGTTAGGTGATTGATAGTATGTACTCAATGGGCTGAAGGGCCTCTCCCTGCTGATATACTCTACGACTCTAATATGTTTCAGAGCTCATGATGCTGCAAGGCACTCCACAGCCATCAAATTGCTTATTCAATGTAGTTACTGTTGATATGTAGGCAGAAACAGCAGTTAAAATATACAGTACTACCCCACAAACAGCAATGAAATAAATAACCAAGTAATCTCTGTTAATGATGTTAGATGAGGGACAAATGAGGCACACTGCAAGGATTTTCCTCACTTTTCATCCAATTGTGATGGGGATTTTTGAAATTCATCAAAGCAATTTAACATCATATTTGAAACTTAGATAGTTTGATTTTAAACAAACATTTGTACCTGCTCTGCACCGAAGTCATTTTTTTTTAAATGAAGAGGATCTGTACTTATGAATTAATCAATACACCAACTTTCAACATTTGTGTAAGACTTTGAGCAAGATACTCATTATCATTTAGAAACCTGTATTTTTATAACCATGTGGGTACTTTAAGGTACATTTGTGCGAGTTGAGCAGCAGATCACAATCAGCTATAGAAAATACAGAAAACTGCAAACTGGATTGTTGGATCAATCATTTCTCACTTATTGAATTTGAAGTCCAATCATTATATCATTGAGAACTGTCACTATACACCAAGGTTGTCTGCCTCAGAGTCAATGCATTCTCTTCCCTTGTGCTCCATTTCTATCAAAATCTGTCAGCACACAGATTGGATCAAGAATCCACTCCCTCAAACACAGATACTGACACTAATATGGCAATGATCCCAGTGGGAAGTCTAATGTGAGGAGTCCCCACCAAGTAGACAGAAGCTGCAATCAGAGACAGAAACAGTCACTTGTTGAAGTCACACCTCAGTCCATTTGATAAGCTGCCAGACTAAAGGAGGCAGGCAGGTAGGTTGGGGCTTCCATTAGATAAAAATATTTCAGGTGTTTTCAGGCAGCAAAATAAGCAGAGGGAACCATGCAAAGGATGGCATTGAATACACAAGAATGAGAGTGCAATAAGTTAATGCTGAAGGGGCAACTCATAGTAATTGGGGCAATCATTGATAATAAAGGAGTAGGAGAAAGAATAACGGGGTGGGGGTGCAGCGGAGAAGGAAAAAAAATGCAGCATTAATTGGGTGGGGGAGGGGAGGCAAATGCCCCAGTTTGTGGGCCGAAAAGACAACAAAGAATGAGCAGCAACTTGAATAGGGTTAGAGGGTGATAAGAACATCAAGGCTGTATTGGCACTGTACAGGGAAAAGACTGGAACTGAGGTGGTAAGATGTGGGAGAAATCGTTGAGGTACCTACAGGGGAGGTGAATCTGTTTGGGCAGGTACAAATCCAAATGATACTTTCCTTTTTTTCAAATAACATCAAAAGGTGATCCATTATGCTGCGTGAAAGTGATAATCTATAATACAGCACATTGTGGGGATCTTCCTTTGGGGGAAATGGCCTCAAGAAATGAGCCTTCAACATCTGGATTTCCTCTTTCACAGGCAGTTTCCTCATGCCCCTCACGCCAATATCAGTGAAGGAATGTTGAGAACATTTAAAGTTAAGGAGTTAAGTTGCAAATCCTGTGGTTTATACTCAACATCAATGTTGAGGTGTCATCTTTTTAGGATGATCTCGTCAGGAAGCCGTTGGTCAGCTAAATTCTAAGATGGCATGAATGAGGTAGTAAGTAAAGGTTGACAGAGATTTTAAACAACATTACAACAATCTGGAATTTGACAATCCAAAATTCCTTCCACTCTGGAGAATTTTAAGACCTCTAAACATCATCCCTTTTCATGCTTCTGATGTGATAATCTTATGATGATTTCAAATGGATCCTGAGAGATCATTGCTCGCCCCCTATTTAGCTGCTAACCTCTCACAAACATCACTACAAAAATGTTTCTCTTAATCATACTCCTCTCAAGCTGCAATGACTGGATGGGAGTTTATTTTCAGTGACAAAGACCTTTATTCTGAGCAAGTTAGTCAAGTGAGTCACTGATGTCTCACTGCACTGTGAATTCCTCGCTTACTTTCCCACATGAGAATCCAAGGTAATTTTTTTTTTGCTAGGATGTTGCCACGTCTGGAAAAATGCAGCTTGGACAAACTGGGATTGTTCATGGAACAGAGGGAAAATTTGATTGAGATGTACAAAACTGAGAGGAGCCAAAAAGGATGGTGTATGGGATGGGGCTATTTACCTGAGCAGAGAAGTCAGTGATGAGGGGCCTAGATTTTAAGCCTTTTATAGAAAGACTAGAAGACAGATGAGGAATTTCTTTTTTTCACCCTGAGGGTTGTAAGGATCTGGAACTCACTGGCCGAAAGGGTTGTGGGATCAGAAACCCTCGATTCATTTAAACAATGATATTAACCACCAATGCTGCAACTTGCAGGACTACGGACAAAATGCTGGAAAGGGGAAATAGGCTGTGTGTGTGTGTGTGTGTGTGTGTGTGTGTGTGTGGTGTGTGTGTGTGGTGTGTGTGTGTGGGGGGTGGAGAGTTGTTTTCAGCTCTGACAGACACAAATAGGCCAAGTAGCCTCTTTTGGTACCATAAACATTCTACAATTCTATGAACAAAAACAGAAGTTGCTGGAAAAGCTCAGCAGCATCTGTGAAGAAAAATCAGAGTTAACGTTTCGGGTCCGGTGACCCTTCCTCAGAACAATTCTATGAATTTGAAGTGAAAACAGAAACTACTGTTGTCCCAAAGAATATAATTTTTCTCTCTTTCTAATGCTGCATGACCTTTTGTTGTGCTTTCGGTTGGTTGTCTGGGTTGTTTTGGTCAAACCCTTCGTGATTGCTCTCCTGACTTCTCCACCAACAGCACAAGACTGCTGTAGCGTGTTTTACCCATATGATTCATCACAGTAACACTTCTCTGGCAGCAATTTCCCCAGCCTGCAACCTCCACTATCCAGAAGGGTAAGAGCTAAAGGTGCTTGGTGACACCAACACCTGCAGCTTCCTTACTGTCTCCGCCCACAATATCACATAGCACCCTGGCTTGAACAGATACTACCTTTCGTGTAGTGCCACTGGTCAACATTTGCATCTTTCTACCCAACAATGTTGTAAGCCAGTCAAAATTCAATTCAATATCACCCTCTCAAAGCTTTCTGGGAGTAGTCAATAAATGCTGGCCTTGCCAGCAACATCTATACCCAAATATACATGTTCAAAAACATTTTCTAAAGTTAAATAACCACAAAAGTGTTATAATTCCATGCAAATATTTAACTTAATACCAATTAACATTTTGACAAGTTGAGGTAGAAGTAGAAAAGAATGGGCTGAAATTCAGAAACAAGACAAAGAATTCATTGCAACACACTCACTATGCTAATTTTCTTTTTGAGGTGCTTCCAAGCTAGTGAAAGACAGCATAAGGGATGATGTGAGACCCACGTTCCCCACCACTATACTGTCCTCCAAATACAACAACACTCAGCTTAGAGTTACCCTTAATATACCAGCATGATGTTTCCATTTTCACCTCTTCCTATGATGCCAAGTAATGCTCCTATATATCAGCGATGAATTTTAACTGTCTGTAATAAAATTTAAATAATCTTCAATCACTTCACTGTGTTGCATGAAGGTTTCGGTTTTTGTTATTCCCAAGTTACAGATCCAGGAGTATCTTTAAAAAAATATTTTGTGACTGTTAATTTTATAAGAATTTAGCTTTATCAGATTTGGGTCATTACAAGGAGGTTTTTAACTCTCACAAAGAGTAATGCAATAAATTTCTATCTAGGCCCATGAAGGCAGAAGCATAACAAGTATTTTAAGAGACAATTGTTTGGGAATGACTGACTATAGGTTTCATAGTTGGGTGAATGTCCTCTCTCATCAGTAATGGTTTAGTGATTCTTTCAATGCCAACATTTTTGGCTTCTGCACAAGTGCAGTGTACTTGCACAACTGGGATCTTTTGATGAGTCAACAAGGTGACATCTTTTGGAAATTAGGGTGATACTTCATTAATTTTGCTATTAAAAAAAACTTATGAAAATACAGACCTGAATGGACCAAGAAAACAGTACATTAAGTATAAAAACACAAGGAATGACAGTCATTTTAACGGAGCTGTCACAGGAATTCCTGGTTTTAAATTTACATTGAAGTACAGGCAGATCACCAATCATTTCACAGGATAGGCGGCAAGCTCAACCCAAGAGTTGGTTGGGGTTCCTAAGAAGTTGTAAGGGCCTCAAGCACGAACTCCATTTCTCTCTTCACAGATGCTGCCAGACAGGCTGAGTTTGTCCAGCGCATTCTGTTTTGATTTCGAGAGTTGGTTGGTTTGCTGGCTTTGTTTACTCTCTGTTCTTTATTAATTGCTTTTTATACTGATTCAACTGCAATTGTGCTGTTCACAACTCATCCAGACAACTTTTGTTTCTTTGCTCGTCTCATTACTGCTCACTTTAGCTTTCTACCATGAGTCTTTTTTTCAAATTTTAAAAATGTACTTTATTCATTTGAAAAAAAAACATTTATATACATACATAGTCACTAGAGCAGTATAATTTTGTACAGAAAGAGAAACAAATTGCTGG